CTGGAGTCGGGATCGAACCCACGACCTCTGCACTATGAGATCAGCGCGCTAACCAGTCGACCACCGGGCAGCCGCATGGAATTGATCCAAGTTCTAAATTATGAAATGCACAGAAGTTTGAAAAGGAGGGTTAAATAGGCTCATATCTTTAATTTAATGAATTGAGTCTCATCTGAAATTCGAGCTGAGGGGCAAGCTTCGCATTGCTCCCTGTCTAGATAGATAAACTGACTTCCCTTTCGTCCTCAGACCAATCTTTCTTCCCAGAAAAAAAAATAAAAAACTCTCTCCACGCTTCACTCTTCCCCACATTTTTATGACCATGCTTCGCTGCTGAAAGACCTCTCACTTCCTGGCAATCGTTGCTCTTTACCAGCTTAATGGGGGATGGACACCACCCGGGGGGTGAGACAAGGAATTAAAAAAAAATATATATATATATATATATATATATATATATATATATTTGCAAGACTTACTACGTGTTTCCGTAGTATAGTGGTTATCACGCCCCACATTTTTATGACCATGCTTCGCTGCTGAAAGACCTCTCACTTCCTGGCAATCGTTGCTCTTTACCAGCTTAATGGGGGATGGACACCCCCCGGGGGGTGAGACAAGGAATTAAAAAAAAAAATATATATATATATATATATATATATATATATATATTTTACCATCTTTTGAATAATTCGCATCAGTCTTAAAATAAAAATTGCATATCTTATCGGAAGTGTTTCATTATGTGTCCTATCTTTATGTGCAATACCTGTCATTTATAAGAGTGGCCTTGCCTTGACTGTGTGATGTGGAATAATGTAGACTGAATACATCTTCTTGCCTAGTTGGTGGAGCCCTAACCAGTAGCTCAACATGCCAATAGAGTGCCTCCTCCTTTAGATGCACTTCCCTCATCTCCTGACTGTTCAAGCAAGAGAATAAGGTAAGTAGTTGTGACAGAATCACTCTATTTTCAGTTTTATCTTTTCCACAGCTCATGGCTGACAAATGCTGTTTCATTTTTGCAGGTGTTAGGACCACAAGCACGATGGGCCGCCCGAGTTTATATATGATTCTGCTCGCATTCATTTGTCACAGTTATGGCCAGGACGCATTCAATCCACTTTATAGGTCCAAAAGGTAGGAAAATCCTGTTTTTATTTATTTTTTTCAATTTTGTGAGGATATATTTTGTTGTACTACCGGTAGTATGTTTTTTTTTTTGTCATATATTTTATTTTTTTGCTCATACCGGTATATAAATTTGTGTCAATGTAGGCGTTACTCGATTTTAAAGAGCTTTTGAGTTGGGTTTTTTTTAGTTTTTCATTTTTTGATGATGCCAAATCTCATCTGTCTGCCAAAAAGTCTTTGCATTCCTTTGGCCAGTCATCCTGTTCAGTGTCGTAGAGGAGTTTGATCTGATCGCTAAAGTACAGTCAAACCTCGGTTGTCGAATGTCTCTGTTCTTGACCAAATCGGTTTTCGACCAAAAATTTTGAGTTTTTTATGCCTCGGATTACAACCGAAAATCGGTTCTCGACCAAACTGAGCGCACTTGAATGCACCACTTGACTCCTCTTGACTTCCTTACACGAAGAAGTGACGCTTCCTCGTGTTGCGTTCCATTGTGAGCAGACGTGTTCAATAAAGATTTTTTTTTTTTTAAAAAGAGCGTAGTTTCGGTTTTCGAACAAATCGGTTTTCGAACAGCCTTCTGGAACGGATTATGGTCGAAAACCGAGGTATGACTGTATATAGCCTTTTTCAAAAGTCGTAATTAAACCTAGTGCAACAGAACGCCAAATTAGTAAACAGTCCACCAAAGTTGTGGGTATGTTTAAAGCGATATTATCTCAAGTTATTAAAAGTATCCTAGGCTTTGAACATAGCACTTAGCCCCATTCAATCCATCATCAAAAAAAGGACATGGACATAGGACAACTGCATACCTACCCAGAAATGTCCATCCAATTGAACTACGGGTTGGTAATGTGCTGTGCCATACCTTCTCTATAGTTTATTCTTGCCATCATTCTGGTCGAGATTGATCTTGGCTTGGCTTCTTTTTTTTTTGGTCTGTTGCCC